TGCGTTGTTTGACATTTTTTGCAATACGAGAAATCTGCGCTTTTGAAGATTCATGTTTAGCGAAGATACGACTCAATAATAAACCGTTAAAAACTGTCGTTCGTCGTTGAAAACTTCATCGCGCATAAATGATACTTTCCGATGCACGAAAAATCAGTGTTTTCGAAGATCGACGTTTGGCAAAGAAGCGAGACGATAACTGAACCGTTAAAAACGGACGAAGACGTAAACAATTGTGCACAATTGACATTTTCAGAATCGCGAAAAATCTGTGTTTCGGAAGATCGGAATTTGGCAAACGGTCGAAACGATAACAAAACCGTTAAAAATGATCCAAGACGCGCGACGAAAAATCTTTTCGTCAACGAAAAATCTGTCCGATCAATGTTTAGCAAAGAGACGGCCTCCTTATCGCGGCGATCTGTTAACAATTATCAAATCAATGGGCCTCCTCGGTTGGTTACAAGGGGTGACTGGTAATCAAAGGCAATAATATGATCGTGGCAGCGTGCGCGTACAATGCATCCGCGTCTATCGCCGGGGACAAAGGATCGCGGGGACGTTTAATTGGTTTCGCCGGGCAGGCTCTCGGGCGAAATCTCATTAGTCTGCCGCGCGTATTCATTGACACGCTTTTCATTCCGTCGCCGGGCGACTTAGACGGCCAGCAGCGTCGGGAGCAACGACGCCGTTCGGAAGCGGACGATCGATACGAAACGATTTACGAAAGGCCCTGTGCGTCGCGCCGGAAAACAGCCGGCGAGCGAAAAGGGCAACTAAAGGAAAAGGAAAAGGTGAAGGGAAAAGCAAACGGGGCCATAAGAAAGATCAATGACTTACCCTGGCTTTTTCAAGTTGACTGAGGGCCTGCCTCTCCTTCTCGCGTCGCAAGTTCTCCTTCTCCTCGTCCAGCGAGAGATCCGAGCTCGGCTGCGAGTAGTTCGAGTCCGCCGAGCCCTGAAACGCGAAACAAAACCGTTCAAATAGCACCACAAGGCGGCCGATACCATTACTTCTAAATCATTGTTTCTTGCCGCTTCCCACCACTCTGGAACCAGCCACTCATCGCGGCAAGGAATATTAAAATCCTTCTCAAGATGATCAAAAACTCCCGACAATTTCCGGTGCGGCAAACTGCCGGACAATAATGGGGTCTCCGGTGCAAAACATTCTAAATCGCCTGAATAATGATCCCTCTAATCCTCGTAATGCGATCTTGTAGCGCGTCGTTCATATTTTCTTCGTTTGAAACATATTTTCTCGGTCTACGTTCGCCGGCAGACGCGACAGATCGAAGACTTTAAGTCAGATTTAAAATAAAACCAATTTTACCGAGAGCTTTTTCAGACGTCCCGTGGGAGATATTTATTTCTCAGTCAATTTCTAACATTGGATACCTCCAGGTTCTATTTTCCAGTGGATTTATCAAATTAGAAACTTAAAATGCTGAATCAGTGGGATAGAATTAAGATGAAATTAATTTTTTATTGAGAGTTTCCTGTGGTATCCTGTGAAAAGTGTTTGTACTCCTGTTAATTACTGACAGTGAAATCCTGTTAATTTCATCAGCGAAAACTGATAAGTCAAAGACCTAGAACTTTGAGTCAGTTGGACAGATTTAAAATGAACTCGTTGAACCCATTGAGTGTCTTTTGACACATCCTATGGGAAATATATACAGAGTATCCCATAATTATGTTAATATGTGGAAAGGGGTGATTCCTGAAGTCATTTCAAGTAACTTTTTCCTTGGCGAAAATGCGATCCGCGGCTTCGTTTACGAGTTATTAACGAAAAACACTGACCAATGGAAGGCGAGCTCGCCTAGTGCTAGGCAGCCGAGCCAATCAGCGGAACTGGGCGGAACTCGTTGGCTTGGCCGCCTCACGCTAGCTGATCTCGCCTCTCTTTGGTCACCGTTTTTCCTCAATAACTAGTAAACGAAGGCGCGGATTGCACTTTCGCTAAGGAAAAAGTTACTTCAAATGACCTCAGGAATCACCCTGTATATTTCAGTCTATGTTGATTAACAATCCTAATAGATCAAGCTTCGGACTGTCGACACGATGCCATATTGAATCAGTGACACTATTCCGATTTGGGAGAACAGGCAGTTCTCTTTCATCTGTTTCTGTGAGAACAAATATTTACAAAATAAAGCATGTTGCTCGTTCGTGTAGACTGCGCCTTGAATAATCTTTCTCGCTAAATCTTTTTTCTCACAAATTGAGTCCGACGAAAGAGAACCACCTATTCTCGAAAATACGGCGCAATATTAGTTCCTTCGCGCGGCAACATGCCGGCAGTCCAAAGGTGAAAGACATTAGTTCAGTGTGACAGGACGAAAATAAACCTGTCGAGTGTTTTCCCGTCGATTTTCAAACGCGAGGATCGATTCGCAAAGCAGAAACGAAGTCACGTCGGACGCGGTGTTCTTCCACGTTCCTTGACTCCTATCTCCTTATCGATTACCTCTAACGGGGTGAACGACTATAATCTGGAAGTTGGAACTCCGCACGGTCATTACACCGTGTTCCACATTCGTTGAAATTTGCCCATTGGCGAACGAGACGGCTCCCGCGAGATTTTCCGCGAGGAGGAGTCGCGGAGCTCCCGATGTTTTGTTCAGGAAAATCCCCGGAGAGGATCCTCGAAGACCGTCAAGCCATTAGTTCGGAAAGAGAGTCGACGGGGATCCAGTCTGCAAACGTTTCCAAGTGGCAGTTTGTAGAACTGTTATTTCAATCGAATTTTTCTCAAACAATCGGCTGTGTACACGATCTTTGGCCGGAATGCTTTCGAAACGATTTAACTGTTTTCTGTTGGGAAAAGTGGGCTTGTTTCGGCGGAAATCTATTGCGCACACTGTACTTTGCACGTGGATGGTCCTGCGGAGACGAGAATTTCCCGTGGAACGTCGTTTCGAAGTGGAAAACGGTGCAGTAGAAACGGACAGTTATTGTCAGACACGTAAATCTTTTTCTCGCGCTGTAATTATTCAATTTCTCGTACACGAAGCGAAGGTAGAACGTCGTAGAAGTGTGGCGAGATAATGAAAATATTTTCTAACACAGGCAAATACATTGTTTTTAATATTGTAATTAAGAAATTGTTAAAAATATACCTGATTTTCTGACGAATTCAATTAAAATTCTGTTTTACTGCCACGAATGGCACCGGAATGCATGTAGACATATAATTTAACTTCGTCCTCTAGATTCGCTAACAATAAAAAAATTCTGCTATAATAATCGCACGACAGGCCAAGAGCGACTTCGATCAAAAAAGAGGATCGTATTTTATTCAAGAGGCTCTGTGGCATGAAAAATGTATAACCGAACGGTCCATGAATATTCCGAAATATTGAATAATCAGACTTTTAATAAAAGACTCTATTGTAAACGAAAAAAAAATTCGCATATTCATAACGGTAACCCAATTATTCTATTTAGCGGTAGCATAGTTCCCGGAGACAAAGGCGCCAATCGGAACGAGATATCGGGAACGCGTTAACGGGATTACCTGGCAAAACCAATAAATCAGTTCCAAGGTGTTTCCACGGCCATTCGCAGGGTATTAGTGTCATGATCAAGTAAACAGCATCAATACCACGGCTGCGTCTGGAATTATCCGTGACAAAATTTCGGAATCTATCGCGCGCGGCTCTGCGACGCTATTTATTATGCCGGCCGTTGTTCGACTAAGTGTCCGAGGAATGCAGTAAATTCTCCCTAATTCGCGCTCAAATCGTGCACGAAAATGGACAATTTGGGAAGAGGAGATGCGATTATTCGAGCCTCGCGGCATATTTTTATAGTTACCGATTTGTAAAAAAATGATAAAAACGAGACGCAAGCCTCGAATAATCGTGTCTTCTCTTCCCAAATTGTCCATTTTTGTGCACAATCTGTGCGCGAATTAGGGAGAAAGTATTGCACGATACCGTCGGGAACAATGTAACGAGGGGCCGCGATTAATTCCGCGTTCGAATTAATCGACGCGCGACTCGAATCGAAGTCTTATCGGTGCGCGGCCCGCGAACAAGAAATCCGCCCGGGCTAGACGCAATTTGTAGCAGTTTTATCGATCGGCACGATGACATTGACATATTGATCCGCCGTGTTGAATGTCGAAGCCTCTGCTTGTCCCGTAATTAGACACTTAATTAAATGAGAAGGATGACCGAGGCCCGTCGAGCCCCTCCGACGAGAATTTGCATTTTCTCGCTATGAATGCACACAATTTCGTTCGAGGCCTCGGTATCCGTCGATCTAATTTTTAATACTCCGCGCACCGAATGCCTGTAAGCTTCCCCCGGACGATTTTCGTAATTTCATCCGCAGCGTGACATTGACGTATTGATCCGACACGCTCAAAGACGCCTTCTGGCATTCGAGCGATTAGTTCCACGCAAAGAATGTGTCGCGACACACGGGTGCAGCCTGCATTTGCATCCCGCCTTCATTGTTGGACAGCGGATAAAAATCTTCCGGGTTAATTGGGAGAAGTTGGCCTTCGACGAAACTATGGTTCTTTCGCTGTAACCATTTTAATAATTACCTTCTGTAATCAAGCATCGAGATCAATCACACTGGTCGAATTAATGAGATCGAAATAAGCAGACAAATTCAATCATATGTTGATGATTGTTGTTCATTTACCATGTAAATTAAAGATATAGGTTTGGGAAAGATCAATGATCTCTGCATCGTTCGAATCATTCGGATCGAAACAGATGAACAAATCGAATCGCATGTTGATGGTTGTTAATCTAATCAGGCGAAATTGCGCGTTCTTTGACTGGCAATTTTAATAATTGTCTTTCGAAATCAGGCGTCAAATCACAGTGAAAAAACTAATCATATGTGCATGATTAGACTGCGGATTTTATACATTTGTAACACAAATGGCTGGGTAAAATTTATAATAGCGAAAACATTAAAAAGTTTGCGAACATTTCTGTATCATTTTCAATTGACTAAAAATTATTAAAGATTGAAAGAAATTCTATTTGGCTCATGTTTGTTGGAATCCATGAAGAATGAATTTTTCTTTCGTATAAAGATTCATAATTGTTGCGGTCTATTCATGATTCTTGGTACGTTTTATTGATTATACATTACATTCATTTATAAAAGTAGCAAAGATACCTTTATTCTGATTTTTAACCAACATTATTGTAATATTTGTCACAAGCAAAGCTTACGTTGAATAAATAATGAAATAAGTAAATGAAAAAATTAGTGACCCGTCATTCTGACGGGTCCCGCAAATCTACTATTTCATAAATTTGGCTAAAAATCAGTGTTTCGTGTACCGTTGGAATCGATGCAATCGAGACAGAAAAACGAAATCGAATGTTGACGTCTGTAAACCATTGCTGTGTTGCATTAAATCTGACACTGCCAAAGAAAAGATTAACATCGCACCTTTCAATTTTATAAAACGAACCAGCAGCCGTGCGAGCATCTGGCCGGCCGATATTTTTGTAATATCGCTCAGTGAATCGAGATCGTAGTCGATATTGTCAATAGAAGGATTCATCGGCGGTGCGACATCCCCTCGAGCCCGAAAGGAATTTTTTCTCCTGCCGGAGTATGAATTCATTCGATTGGGGGTCGTAGCCATGCCAACGGCCTATAGTTAATCGTGTCTCCGCGTCTGCCTGCCGTGCGTGACTGTGTAAATTTGTCTATGCGTGCTAACACGCGACCTTCGGCCGTCCCTACTACGTGGCCCTTAAAAAACCCGGATGGCTTTAATCAATCGAGCAAAAACAGCGGTCGCTTTAGAAATTCTTACACCAGATCTGTCGTACCCTTCGTCTTCGTGACCCCGGCTGGAAGGTCGTTGATTACAGTGCATCCAGTCACCCATAGTTTTTTCGCGAATCGTGTAAACAAACGGTGGGGGTAAGCGTGTTAATATTTATATCGGCTCGGGAAACAACTATTAAT